CCACAGTCCCAGGTTCCTTCAGTCTCTTTCTGACCATAAGTCTGGTTTCATTTTGTTTTTTAAATAATTTTGAGTTTTGGTCCACACATTGTGCAGTTCTATCCGGGACCTTCTGATATGATCCCGTTCAGAGCAGTTGGTAGTGGTGGCCAGGCATTAGTTTTTCTGGTCTCATGGTCGTGAAGAATGACGTTCATACGAGTTCCATTAACCCATTGGACAAGTTGATTACAACCATCTTCAATTGTCATCACTCTTCTTCCTTCTGGGCCCGGAGAGACCAATGGCTGCACATTCATTAGGTTGCCATCTGCGTGACGTTCATGGTGTATTGCTGGTGGTACAAAAGTAGAAATTATAGTGAGGAACCCTACCCCACCCCTTTTAATATTTGTACGTAAAGAAAACAAGAAAAACTGAACATGCGTTGGAACAGCTATGTATGTACCTCTATGTCCACATTCATTACGTGTTGAGGAAAAGAACATTACATCATAAGAGGTATGATTTGGATAATTTTTAGCTGTTGGGTGAAAATTTTCATCACGATTGTGAGGGAAACAATACCATTTGGTCTGTGCGCCTAGCTTTGGCCCCTCATCTGCGTCTCTGGGTGTGACCTCATCTGGCCCCGCCCCGTAACGCATCTTCTGTTCTTCTAGCTACTCCAGGTTGGTCTTCTTGTCATTTCAAGCGGGAATCTCCCATCTCTGGAGATCTGGATGTGGTTCAGGCTTCCACCTATAGTCTTAAGTGTTGCAGAGGCTCCGCAGGAAGCCTCCTTCACCGGGCATGTTGTAGCCCCATTTTAGGTATTCCATTCAGTTATAGGCAGAAGATGGACTTTCAAGCTTTCTATGGTGATGCTTTTCGCTATTGCTTTCTTTCCCACTCCAGTGTCTATTTTATAATATAATGGAGAATGATTCTTGTTGTAAGGACTTGTTCCCTGTTTTGAGCTACTGCTTCCATAGGTGTAGGTCAAGTTCATCAGATTACTCTTTTTTTCCTCTTCTTTCTTCTTCTGGTTGAACTTTGATCATCCGGTCATTGAAGCCAGGTCAAGTGGGTTATTTATTATCTGCAAGTGTGGGTGTTCTTGTGCATGTGCCCTCTCTTTTTATCAGCTGAACGCTTCACTCTCCACATTGTAGGGCTTAGCTGGCCATTTCATCGTTGTTTTTCCCTCACTTCCCCTTATTGGTGATGAGCGTGGTCACCAATCAGAGCGTGTATTCCCATTGAGTCTTACTCTTGGAAGGGGGTTTGCACTGACGGGACTCAACCACTTGCCTTGATGTCTCCTGGGTGAGCAACTTGCTTGTTCTTGTAGTAACAGTTGGTCTGTCTATATTGTTTTGTATTTTTCCTGTAGGTCTTTCTTTCAAGAAGTATCTTCTGTTCTTCTAGCCGCTCCAGG